GTGGCGAGAGACCAATAGGAAGAGCCTGGCGGGAGTGGGCGGGCGCAGTGGGTGTGGTCGTGGACGGAGCCTGGCAGGGAGCGAGGTGGGGGTGGAGAGGCTCCAGGGGGCGGGGCTTGCATGCCCGGGGTCCTGCGTTTCCGGCGCTTCTTCCGGAGGTTCTTCCGGCGGAGGGCGTGGTTCCCGCTCCAGCCCCTCGGCGTCCCTTCCTGTAACGGATGGCTTGTGTGTATTTTCATTAGAGCAAATTGTGTGTTAGCACGCGCTCAGCGCTGCAGACGGACAGCGGCTAGGTTTAATTTCCACAGGGTAAGTACAGATAGACAGCGCTCCGACTGACGTTCAAGACGAAAGGAAACCTCGGGGCCAGACGTTGGAGGCTCCCGCGGAGGCGCGGGGAAGGCCGGGCCCGGGGGCTGGGGGGGGGGGGCCGGGGCTGGGGCTCCTCTCCAGGCCGGGCCGGGCAGGAAAGCTAGGACCCTGACGGGGCATCATTAGCTTGTTTCCCTTCCCATGTCCCCCGGGGCAGCTAAATTAGAACTAGAAGGTGCTAGAAGTTTTATTCACCCCAAACTATAGACTACGTACCGACAGTTCTAAGAAGATTCAGGAAATCAAAGGCAAGACAGAGGGAAGGGTCAGGGCTCTCCAACCTCCGGGAAAGCCTGTCCTTAAAGGTGTTTTCTGGCAAACCATTGTGTGGATGCTTTCTGTTGAATTCTAAACTTGTGTGTTTATTGTACATAACACGTCTGCAGCTGGAAGGACAGTCTCCCACAACCCTTGCAGACCGGCTTCTGGCTCTTTGGACACCACCCCCCAGACTCCAGCAGTGTCAGGAATATGGGGTTGGACACCCAGGGGCCCAGGGGCAGGAAAAGCCTTCCAGGGAGGAGGTGGACCTGGGAAGTTTCCAGAATCCTCACAGGCCACGAGAAACTTGCACCCCTGATGAATTAGCCCAAAAAAGTGTCTAGGAGACCCTGCCCCTCAGCCCTCTCACCTGCTCCCCCCCCATCCCTGTGATCTCTGACTCAAGGGTGCATTCCCAATAAAATCTGAGTTTATGATCCATAAGTTATACACACACAGATGGTTGCACACAGACACACATCAGAATCATGATTTCTCTGTAGTTTTTATTAGGTTTCTATATATGCAAACAAACATTTTAAGTTACTGAAACCTTTCTGTGGTGTTAGTACCATTTTCTCACTGGCTTTAGGCATCACTTGGATACCTCATTTTCTTCTGCTTATACATATATGACTTTTCCTAATATTTAGAGTACAAATGTGGTGAACATTTTGAGAACATCCCTGTTTATAGATTTTTAGATTGTGTTCTAAATAGAGAGCTTTGAAGATCCAGGTGCTTTATGAAGGTTGTAACATTTGTTTTTTCTACCCAGTTCATTGCCTGGGAATGCCCGTTTTATAGCAGCTTTTAAATTAGCATTTAAAATTTTCTGCTAGTAGATTAAGCCAGAAATAGAATACCATTTCAATTTGAATTTTAGTATTATTAGTAAGTTTAAACACTTAGCTTACTATTTTTAATTGTCATTTTTCAGATTGTTGATCAGTGTTTTGTGTGTTATTTGCTAGTTATTCATATCTCAAAACTCTTCTTGCTGATTTTTTTTTTTTTTTTGTCGGTTGTGGGGCTTGAACTCTGGGCTTGGGTGCTGTCCCTGCGCTCTTCAGCTCAAGGCAAGCGCTCTACCACTTGAGCCACAGCACCACTTGAGGTTTTCCTGTGGTTATTTGGAGATAAGAGTCTCATGGACTTTCCTGCCCGGGCTGGCTTGGAACCAAGATCCTCAGATCTCAGCCTCCTGAGTAGCTAGGATTACAGGCATGAGCCACCGGCGCCCAGCTCCGATTTCTTTAATAAATATTTAAATCTTTGTTCCCTAGATATCCTAGAACTTAAAATCAGTCATGAGACCAAGGATTATTGAAAGAGACTTTATTGGATTCCTTGGGAAAACACGTGTAAAGTTTGAGAACTCTTGAGCTCTCTACGCAAATTTCCTGGGTGGCTGTCACATGTAGTGGGGGCAAATAGCAGAGTGGGACCTACAACCCTCTCTTCAAAGATGATTTGAAAGGCGGATAACCGGCCTTCCAGAATAGGACAGAACAGGATCATTTGAATTCAAAATGGAAAGATGTAAGTTAAATAGGCTAAGAGAGGGTACTGGTGGACACCCTGGATCCCATAGGGACAGGCTTGGATTCAAGAGGGGGGTGGGGGATGGGGGCAGGTATGTCAGGGGTGGTAGAGCACCCTGCTATGTTGGGCAACAGAGACTCAAAAGGTGACCAATGACACCATTGTTTCAAAGAGCTCCTGAAGTGGAGCACAAAATGTAATGAATGTATGTGGTAAGAGATGTAAACACTGCCAATAGATATAACTGATTATCACAATGATAATTGATAACCTAATTTTAAAAAATACCACACATTTCTGGGCCAGATCTCAGTAACTAGGAACTTGCAACTCCCAATGCTGTAGACTAAACCTTGAGCATATGAGCCTTTAGGAGGGTGGGGAGGTGCTCCAGATCTAAACTATGACATAATACTGAGGCGACCATTTCCATGGAAACAACATATGATTTTGAGAGTGTGAGTGCTTATGTATACAGTCACTAGAGCTGAGGAACGATGAAATAAATGTCCCAGGAAAGCACATGAGCCTCATTGTCTTATTGGTATGCACCTAGAGGAAAGGAATGTTACTTCAGCTCCTCTTTGAGAAAGAGAAGAGTTTAGCTGATTTTCAGAATGGAAAAACCAAGAGACTAACTTACTATAAAAAGGAATTTGCTTAAGCATAACCATTAGACCATAAATATAAGCACTCTGAAACACCAGATTGTGCAGGCAAAACCAGACAATAATACAATGCAGTGAAAGATTCTCCATCTCCATTTTATTTATCTTGAACAAAGTAACATCGTTGGTACCAGACCTGTCAATTGATTTGGTAAATTTAATCAGTCTTTTAACAGTCAATTTATCCTCCAAAAGATTTCAAATAGCAAATGTAAAATATAGGCAGACAGAATTCTATACCTACTTCTTATTAAAAAGAAACTGTGGAAAGACAAAACATACAATGTAAAAACCAAGAGTCAGAGAAGAGAGATGGAAGGTAGATTTCTCTACACTTACTTTCTTTGGTACTTTTGAGTATTACCATGTAAATGCTTACAAAAATATAAAACCAGCTGGGCACCCATGGCTCACACCTGTAATCCTAGCTACTCAGGAGGCTGAGATCTGAGGATCATGGTTCAAAGTCAGCCCGAACAAGAAAGGCTGTGAGACTTACCTCTAGTAAAGCACTAGAAAACCGGAAGTGGCGCTGTGGCTCAAGCAGTAGAGTGTTCACCTTGAGCTGAAGAGCTGAAGGACAGCACCCAGGCCCAGAGTTCAAGCCCCATGACCTACCAAAAAAGAAAAAATAAAAAAGAAAACTCTGAAAGTTGAAATGAAAATTAAATTGTGTATCAAGCCACAGACTAGCGACATAGAGAAGAAGAATTCAAAAAAATTTAAGACCTTTTAGTGATTTTGTAGCACATGTCCAGGTAGGCATTCCCTAGGATAAAACGACCCAAGAAAATATATGTTAGGAGCATGTTACATTTTCAGTAATTATTTTGACAGCAATATTAATGTCATTGTGAACCCATAGGTTCCGCCAGAATAAAAAGCCCATGGGTACTATGCGGACATCACTGAGAACAGAAATTATTTTCAGCTTAAGAAAAAATAGTTCACATATAAAATAAAAAGAAAACTGGGGAAGTGAAGGTATGGCCCAAATGAGAGTCTGACCTTGAGTGGGAAGAACAGGAGACCCTCAGCGCAAGTCCCAGTATGGATCCCACCTCTCTCTCTCTCTCTCTCTGTCACTCTGCCTCTCTCTGTCTCACTCCCTGTCTCTATCTCTGTCTGTCTGTCTCTCTCTCTGTGCCTCTCTCTCTCTCTCTGCCTGTCTCTGTCTGTCTCTCTCTCTCTCACACACACACACACATACACACAGGAGGACTTGGTCTCCCAACCTCAGGTGTTGGGGAGGTGTTTGTCCCTTGCAGAAGGTGCCAATCCTCCCAGTAGGTCTGCTGGGAGGAGAGCCCAGAGCAGCTGGGCTGGGTGGGTGGCAGCTGGGTGGGGCCTGGGAGAGCCGCAGCCCCGCAGCAGAGGTGGTTTGAATTTCCCGCTGGCGCCAGAGGAAGCCCGGGTTGTAATCAGCGCCCACACGTGGGGTGTGGGGCAGAGAGCCAGAGGGAAGAGCCCACAATCTTTCACAAATGCAGCCCGACCCAGATTATCCCCAGCTTGTTTTTAACTGGAAATGTCAGTATAATCACATGGGATATTATCTCTTTATAGATTGAATAGGATGTGTATATGTGTCCAGGTTGGAAATTTGTTCCCAGGGTGGTGACAGTAGTGGCGCAACCTTTAAGGGGTGTGGCCCAGGGTGGCCCTTACGTCACTGGGTGCTGGGCGGTCTGTTTTAGAAGAAGGAAGACCAGTCTTCCTGCTGCTGTGGGTGCTCCACCACGGTTACCTCCACCTGTACAGCAGTGAGCCCAAGCAGGGAGCAAAGTAAGGCCCTCCCCCCTCTTCCCCCCCCCCCTCCTCTGCCCTCCTTTCACTCCCCCACCACCACCTCCCCTCTTCCCCGGTGGCTCTCCTCTTCAAGCTTCACTCTCTGGCTTGCTTTTTCACTCACGTCTGGCTCCCTCCCACCTCTTAGACTTTTTGTTAAGTGGAGATAAAAGTCTCAGGGGCTTTCCTTCCCTGGGCTGGCTTCAAACTGGGGTCCTCAGATCTCAGCCTCTTGAATGGCCAGTATTCTAGGTGTGAGCTACTGGTGCCCTGCATTCCTTTCTCTTGGAAAGCACTCTGTGTCAGGCCATTCATCATAGTGAAGAGACACTTGAGTGTGTCCCATAGATGTGCAGCTCCTTCCTTACCTTCCCGATGATGGTCTTGAAATAACCACTTTCCACCACAAGGAACCAGGCTTCTCTCTTTAGAAATGGCCTGTCTGGGCCTCAGCAGCAAATGGGCAGGATGCTTCTAGAATGTCTGGTTATGGAAAGAAGCAAGGGTACTCCCAAAAGTTTCTGGGGAGCCAGGTGCTGGTGGCTCACGTCTGTAATCCTAGCTACTCAGGAGGC